GGCTGCCTACTTTCTAGACTGGAGACTGGCTAAGAACACTACTCAGGCATGTTTTAATAGTTTACTTGATTCACAGCAGAATAACTCTATCATGTTTTTAATCTCTCTTTACAGATAAAATGATCCAAATTCCACCAAATTCTGTTGCCATCTCCTCTTTATCTCCAGATTCCAATATTGTTCCCTAAGTGAAGAGTTGGAAGTAATCCATTTGTTATCTTAGGTCAGATATTTTTGTATTTTGAAACTGAAATTTTAAGACTGAGGATAAGAAATGATTCATTATATATATAAACCACCAGTCAGCACCTAACCCATACCGATGCTCCTATGTCTTTGCATTTATTTTAAGAAAAGTTAAAATTGCTTCTGTTGGAAAAGTCTTGGTAAAATATTAGATACTAGCTCAGAAAAGTGTTAACTTATGAACATGAACTTTATACCTCAAACTTCTGAACTAATACAGGATGCCACTGTTCCTAAGGAACTTTTATTGACTATAAAAAAAAAATATGAGACCTCTCTACAAGACATATACAGTAAAAGGGCTGTAAAAAAAGCCATCTTGAATTTTCGTTTTTTAATACAGCAGTTGTTTGTATTTCACTGCAGCAATTCTGAGAAACAAATTTTTTAGAGTCCACTTTTCATGTCAAAAGTTTTAATCCAGAAAGGAGGTTATTTTCAGATGCAACTGTAACATTGGAAATGTTATATGTTGAACAATTTTCTTTCACTTCCATGTAGCAGGGTAATTACAATCATGACATCAATTGCCACCTTACAATGCATTGACTGCAGATAGGAAAACTCAATTTCACATAATACTACTTATAATGCATCTTACGATGGGTTAAAAACTACCCTGATGTCTCCTTATTTCATATTAACTTGATCAAATATAAGGTAACTCATTCCTTTATTTCATGACTCTTTTAGAATTTTTTTCCCTAGAGACTATTTCAGAAGTCATCAAGTTGCATTTGTGTATTGGAATCACGTCAATGAAAAGCCATTTCTTGGTGTAAAACATCTCTCCCTTGTTTATGCATACTGATGACCTTAATCGCCTCAAACTGGGTTTCTTGAACACTCAGGTTTTTTTGGACCTGGAAAGGACATTGGAGATCATGTACTCCAACACTTCATTTTATGGTCGAAGACACTGAGCCGAGACTGATAGCTGAGTGACTTTGGGCAAGTTTCCTACAAAGTATCAGAGCCAGGATCAGAAGCCAGGTCTCCTGATGCCCAGTTAGGAGCCAGGTCTCCTGACTTTTAGTCCAAGGATCTTTCCATTATACACACTGACTCTATTCTTTGAGACTATGTTGGGCTTCTCACACTGATCAAGCTGTTTTACAAACGGTCACATTTTCCAAGTAAAATGTCTTTGATGACAGTCATGAGACCTTGAAGCATGGCAGTATAATCTGGCTCCATTCTAATTAATCATGTGTTTCCCTCTTCCTAGGGCATTTGAAGTGGATTCTCTTTGGTAATACTGCAATGTAGATACTCCTAAACATGGTCTGCAAGGCCATACATGGTCTGACCAAAACAGACCTCAGGAAACTCTCCTCTCTTACTGTGCTGCTGCCACGTCTTCATTTACTTTTCCAACATACAAAACTCTACCCTACTTCAGAACATGCTGTTTCCTACACTTAGAAACTCTTCTTCCATGATGGTAAACTTAGCCCTTTCTCATACTTCAGGTTGCAGTTTATGTATAAGGCCCATTTAGGAATATTTCCTCTAGTCCTCTGATTAGTTAATACTACCTCTCATATAGGGAGTTTTGGTGGCCTGGTGACAAGAAGCTGTGCTGCAATCATGAAGGCACATAGTTCAAGGCCATCAGCTTCTCTTTAGGAGTAGGATGGGCAATCTCCTCCCATGCAATTAACTGCCTCTGAAAATCTGCTGTAGGGCCAGGTATGGGTGAGTTCGGACTCTATAGTACATGACACAACAACAATCCTCATAGGAAATCCTTATGGTGCCTCAAAACATTTAGTGTTTATAACAAGCCTTATTAACTCAATGGCTTAGTAGAATGTATTTCTGTGCCAATCTAGTCCAAGGTATATGAGAACAAGTACTGTGTTCATCCTCGAGCATTACCCTGTCGTATAGTGCTTAGCTATTCCTGTGTCAGGAATATAATAATCACAGTCAATACACTGATTACTCTTATCAAATCTTGTTTTACAGATAGTGATACCATTTGAAGTTCCAACAAACCAATAAAGTGAGTATTATTAACCCACATTTTCCATATGGGGAAACTGAGGCACAGTACTTACACTTTACTTAAATGAGATGCCAAGCATGTAGTAGAACTGATATTTGAATCTCTAAGAACTCTAACATCTAGAGTTCAATATACTTTATATTATTTGTATAGAATCAGGTACCTAGTAAATAATATAATTGATATTTTAATCTCTAAAAAGTCCAGTATCAGAGTCCATTTTAACCAAGACATTTTACTCCCATATAAACAAATATTTGCTGAAGAAATATATTTGAAAAATAAAGTTAACAGTTTTACTGCACTGAATGAAAGAGGTATCAAAAAATTTCTAAAACTCAACCCATATGTTATTTACTATATTTTAGACATTATTCTATAAATTATGCTTATTTTAATCATTTAACTACACAGTAATCTTACAAAGTAAGGCTTCAAATGGCTTCTTCCTGGAATAGTAACAGTTAAGAAAATGAAAACTGATTTGGGGGAAGTAGAACAACAATCAAAATAGGAAAATTTATAACAGTGTCATTACGCAGTATTTGTCTTTTTGTAACTGTATAGGGGTTGAGGGGAGATTGAGAAGAGGGGATAAATAATGCATACTGCATTGAAACAGATGAGGGAGAGAATTGTTTAAAAGGGATATAGGATTAGGTATTATTGTCATGACAGGAGTCTAGAACAAAGGCTGCACAGTGGAGTGGACTTGAGGGGAGGGACTGACTGTATAAAACGAAAAAATTTTTCTTTTACTTTTCAAAGAGACGAGCGAACTGGAGGGAGGGGTGGGCAGGGAGAAAAGTGCAGCAATGAATGAAAGCAGGGGGGAAAAGTAGGAAAGTTGAGAAACTGAAACCCTGCTAGAAATTTGATTTCTTAGAAACAAGGGGAAGATAGATGTTGACTAGCCACAAAATTGCCTGGATTTTGGGCAGAGTCAGAAACAGCAGTGCCCGGCTCAAAGACAGATAGACATTGACTGCATCACTTTGAATGCGAGCCGATTGACACAGCCCTACCAATAACCCACTTTCACACATCTGGCTCACAGAAGGGCTCAGTTTACTTCTGAGTCTCCCTTTCCTGGACATCAGCCACATTTTTTTCCTATCTGTTTATCATTTCAGGTCATCTAAATTTTAAACATTCTGATTCATTCATGGTCTCCTTAGTCATCACTGAACCAATCTGAGGTAGTTTGAAGCCCTGCTGCAAAGCAGATACTATGTTTACCTCCGCTTTGCAAATGAGGAAACACATCTCTATTTTATACCATCATACCTGAGAAGCCCGCATCTGAAGGCATCTCCAAATTAGCAATACATTACTGATATAACAATCATTAGTGGACCTGAAAGGATAAAATGAGGAGGACATTCATCTATTTAGGCTAAACTGAAGAAAAGGACTGGACAAGTCATGACTGCTGAACTCAAAGCTGTTACTATATCATAATCTTCTGTGTGAAGTAAACAAAGCACGGTGTTTATCTGGAGGAATTATTGAAAGGTGATGTGAAAGGTAAAGGGTACACCCTACACAGCCACTTAGGTAGCCTTGGTTAGGCTAGAAAGAGTTGATAGTGTGCACCTAGCACCAAAATAGGAAACACTAAATCATAGGTGTAAAGAGCTAACAAAACAATAAAAGAAAAATGCAAAGCCATGCAAAAATTCACAATCATGGAGAGCAATAAAAGCCTTGCTATAATACCAGATGGACTAATTTTTTTTATCAAAAAACTGAGATAGCACTAACCTTGAAGTTATTTTTAATAACACATTGTTGGGGAAAACCTTTCTGTAAGTGATTTTCATTGTTATTGTTATTGTTATGCTGTCACCTGGTAACTCAGTGATCCCATGCACAATAGCTCTGAATCCTGTCTTATCCTGAGCTAGTCTCACACATCTACCTGTATCATCACAGTTACTGTGTCAATCTGTCTAGCACCATACAAATTGGATGTTTTGTCAAGTCATTATATTTTATTAATTCAATAAGAAGTCTTATTGAATAAGGTCTTAAATTAATTTTATTCTCTGTGAAAAATATCAGTAGAAATAGCGTGGTGATAACACAATGGTCCCTTTACACTATGATTGCACTATATATATGGCAGACATTTTATCCTGTGAAGATGTTAGCATGACAGAAACACAAACAGAAGCAGCCTTAGCAAGAGATGTGCTTTTCTCCCCCTCAGTAATACTTTGTAAGAGAACTTTAAAAAAAAATGAAGAGAAAAATTTTAGGTCAAAGTTGGGTGACACTAGTCAGCTCACTGGAACAAAGGATGGATATTTTTGTTCTGAGGTTTGAGAATTCAGCAGTTTTCACAAGGTGTGCTATATAAGTAGGGCAATGAACGCCAGCTTTGGAAGCCAGGTTTCACAAAAGCCTGGGTGGCCTGTATGTAATGTCAAGAGAATAGGTCAAATTGGTCAACTGTATGGAAGAAAGTAAAATATAAATCAGAGACACATATAGATCAAATAAACAACAACATAGTTCCAAATTTCAGTCTGTGTCATTTGAATTGTTAAGCATAATTAACATGAAAGACATTGGGAAATTCATTTAAATCTACACAGTCTTCAGGTTTCCCAAATGAAAAACTGAATAATGGAAGTTTTTCTTTACAAGGTGCTATCACATGCTCAGGTGAAGGACACAACAGGAAAAAAAAAAACAAAACTCCTATCTTTACTCACAAAATACAATCTTATAACCTTACCTAACAGATTGGTTAACCACAAGGCCAGATCTTCTTTCATTGGTAGCAAATTAGCTTCATGTCTGCTGGCCAGCCATTGGCTATACTGATGCATATCAGAGAGGCCAGGTCCACTGCGTACCTTTGGGCTCAGAGCAGTGCACATTATTTATCCTCTTGTAATACCTGTTTTGGAAACAAAAGAGCAAAGGCTTTTATATAGACCTCTCTTGTTAAAATCTTGCCACCACTGACTCAGTAATGAACTGGATTCGTAATGTTTTGATAACAGGTCAGGTTATTAATTATTAAACCCCAGAAAACACTACTCGCTTTATTTCTCTGATCCAGCTCTCCGACTTTGGGCTCACCAGTCAGTAGGAAGCAACAGTAGTCAAAGGTCAAATAGAAAATCAAACAGTAAGCTCTGTGCTTGAGCAAAACATAATATTGTAAAGGAGGGTAGATTTCTAAGACAAGACAGTCCATCAAACACACAGTATTAGGTGACTGAGTTAAATACTTAGTTATTTTGCAAACTCCTATTGTTTGGATTAATGTTTTGGGGCTTTATTATTTGAGTAAAAGTCTACAAGTCATATTCAGTTTTCATTCAATCTTTCATAGAAATTTTGTCTTATAACATTAATTATGATTAATTAAAGTAATCAATCAATCAGTTACAATGTCTATTCAAATCCTAATATTCTTTCTCTTCATCCAATTTAATCTATTAATTTTTGCTTAATTAAAAGCAATTATAATTTTAATTATAATTAAAAATTTGGAATTTATTTTTGAAACCACAGATTGCCATAGAAATTTGATGCTGGAAATGACAATCCATCTGATATTCTGAGTAGCACATGGCTTGTAGTAAACGTATCGTTGTTACTCTAAAGAATATTCCCTGTAAGGTCAATGGCAGCATTAAAGTGTTTTGCTTTGGCTAAGCAGCCATGGACTCACAGTTGAGTTAATTGAACGGAGGCAAGAAAGGAGTTGAATTCTAAGAGATAACACTAAATTTCTCACATTTTATAGCTAAAGATGGTAAACCCCAGAATAGATAAGTGACTTTACAGCTGGACCATGTCAAGAATCATTCTTGACCCTGGGTCTTCTACTCCAAGATTATTACTATTTTTGATGATACATTCTTACAAATAGACACATCAGTAATTCACTTTGAAAATCCAAAGATTTCTAAAAGAAGATTAACAAAGCTTCTTTTTCACATGCACTGTACCCTCTTTATTTTTGTCTCACATCTTAGATTTTCTTCTGTTTCCAAGTATTTTTACAACAGAAGTAGTAAAATATCTGACAGTTATAAAATAAGAGATAATTTTATTAAGCTGATCACTTATTCCTATATGGATTGTATAAAAGGTATTTGGATATGTAATTGGATTTAAGTATAGTACTTATCAGTAGGCTATAAGATCATAAAAGTAATATTGAAGTAGCTAAAGTAACCACTTTATATTTGACAACAAATAGGACCCATTCTTTACACATGTAGTTCCAATGAAACAAATGAAAACATTATGACCGAATTAAAAAGGAAGATGAGGTATTTGCATCTAGCAAGAAGTTAGATTTAAATACAATAAAACTTTCAGTTATATTTTAACATATATGATAGGCAAATATTTTCTATATATATGTTCTCGTATAGATTTTAATATTTAAAATTTTGCATAGTATTCCTTACCAAACAAATTGAAACTTTACTAACTTTGGTCTTTAAATATTGATATAGAAAAAAATACAATAACACATCAGAAAAATAAAAACTATGATTGTTTTCCAAAAATTTTTCTGTCAATGTGAAAAGACTTCTGAGAGTATGTATAAATAGCTAACGAGTACCATAACCATACCATTTTTAAAGGATAAAAATATTTCATTTGAAAATTAATAGATTTGTTTTCCAATTATATTAATCTTCAAAGTAAATTTTTTGAAAACTCTTTTTCCAATGAAATTTTCATAAATTTCTATAAGTCTCTGTATATCTAAATACTTAGGGTGAACTTTGTAAATATTTTCATTTTCCTTAAAGGAGAAGACATTTTCCTCCCTTTTTCTGCTTTTCCTTGCTTTTTTTGCTGTCCAGCCGTAGAGTGGGGCAGTGTTTTCAATATATTTTATCATGTTAGCAAACTGTCAGTATAAAAATGAGAATATTGAACTTGTCTACTCTATTACAGTTAATAACAGTATTATTCATATAAAGTACTAACATTTTTTCCTGTTATTAAACGTCAGGCTATAAAACACTTCTTGCCCCAGGCTTTAGAAAATATTTCTAATTCTAGGAGAACGGAATCTCTCTGTAACTGGTTTGAATCCCTATAGGCTGGCTAGCCTCAGACACAAACCATTTAATCAAGATCTCACACTGGTTCGTTCAGGTTCAACCTCCTGTTAATCATTTGCCTTTCCATCCCAGATAAACGAATCTATAATCTACACTTTAACAAGATAAAAATCACCTTGGGATCTATAAGAATCAGCTGAAAATCCTAGTAAATGTAGATTCTGATTTAGTGTGTCTGGGGTGGAAAAGGGAATTCTCCACAGAGGTTCAAGCTGGAATGAGTCAGCTTGAAACTTCAAACTGTTATGAAGTCATAACACATTTACACACATAATTCATACATTTAAATAGCTAATTTAAATCTTAAAAGGGTTACCTCTAAAATGCCTTTGTTCTCAAGACACAATCTCTCCCACTACTTTCCTGAAAGTGAGATGTGGTAGTTCAGTAACTTTACCTACACCCTATTATGTGCTCTGCACCTTCCATTTAAGCATCAGAGTCCTATTTTGCTCTGTAAAAGCAAGAAGACACCTCCAATTCTTAAGCTCATTGTCCAGCAAAGAATTCATCAAGGGATAGTTTACAGTAAACTTAATGGCATGTAACAGTTTCAATGAGCCAGAGGGATCTAATCCTTCTCCTTAAACTTCCAAACAGTGAAGTTTTTCTTTCCCTTGACAGTGGCACATTTATTTCTCATGTAGTCTGCCCTGTGTTTTGCCAGAAATGTAATTCAAACTATCATCTAATGTTTACAGATTACCAATACATAAAACCAACCAATACATAAAAATAATAATAATTAAGTAAATTTTATTTTACTATTTAATAATCAGTTACTGTGTACATTTATATTCCCAATGAGGCAAAGTTTAATCAATATGAAATCAAATAGTAATCAATATGTAAAAGAAGGTAAACAATCGAATTTCTACCTAATATGTAGGATTCCAAAATCACTGACATAAGTAGTGACTCTCTTGTTTAAATCTCTTCTGAAAATAATTAGGATTGTTAACTCAATTGCTTCTGAAGCCCTTTTCATATTTCATATTTTCATTAGATTTGGGAAAACTCGGTGGTTTACATGAAAGTCACTATGTGAAGGTCTTGGATTTTTATTTGGAAGATGCATACAGAAAACATGAAAAGAGTTCCACTAACCAGAATAAAAATTTTGAACTGAAGGAAATTTACCCCACTGTGAAGCAGTTCCCAATTCTCACAATTAAAATGTGGTGAAGAAATATTGAGTACAATTGTATTACCCAGATACAATATTACTATAGAAGTACACACTTCTTAAAAAATAATTGTTTGGTGTTGATGTTAAGAGCCTTCCAGTCAACTCCATCTCATGGCTGCTCCATGCGCTAACCAATATTTAATGTGTGTGGATGAGTTGAATTAGAGTACAAAGAAAAAGTCATGAAAAGATGCATTTATGACATTTTGAATCCACTTCAAACCATTACAAAAGCACAGAGCAAGTTGAGTGATGTCTTTCAAAGATGGAAAGATAATATAAATGAAAGATCAATAGTGAACTAAGCTTAAAAGAGTTTCTAGAGAAAAGAAATTTACTTTTGGTATAACAAATATATAAAAATCACAAAATGTTGCCAATAAGATTTCTAAACATTTAAAAACTTGCCAAATGACTTCTGTGGGTCCTAAGGAAAGCCAAGGAGCACAAGTGGGCTGGTGGGTAAGGAACTGTACTGCCAACACAAAGGCAGGTGGTTCAAATCCACCAGCTCCTTCATGGGGGAAAAGGTGGACAGTCTCCTCCCATGTGACTTACTGGCTCTGAAAGTCCACTGAAGGTTCAGCTATAAGTCAGTTCCCTACTTTATGGCAAAGAGAGAGAGAAAAGGAAATGTAATCCCTCTGGAAAGAGGTGGAAGGACTAAAATTTTCTTAAGATTTCTCCACACTTTATGGATCTATCTAAAAGTAGTTAACATAAAGGTCTTGGAATTCAGAGAAATAAATTTTAAAGAGAAAACCATACAGAAATGAAATAAAGAATTCTTCAAAGAATGTGTGTATATAGCTTTCCATTTCTTTCCCTAGTAGAAGTGACTCTGGAATAACAATTATAAATATGTTGAGAGTTGAACTAGCCCAGAGGAAGAAGGAAAATTTAACGACTCCTTAAGTAAAATCTCACATGTTTTAAGGTTCTGTCTAGTCAACTGTTGTTCCAGAATCCCTGGGGAAGACATCAGTTTTGACTCTGAATAGAAAATATTCTCCTTTGCCAACAATAGTTATGAGCACCATTGTTTGAGGTCCATCTCTAAACCAAGCTGTGTTACAGAAAATACATTTCAATATTCTAAAATAAATTAGCGTGCAGAAAAATGTAACAAATTATAAGTTCTGTATCACCAACATAAGTTTTTATTAAGAAGATTATGAATAACAGAATTCAAACGTCTTAAGGTCAAATACTGGCTTGCTACCTAGCCAACTGGCAGCTTTAATTGTAGTTAAATTACTATTTTCTCCTTACATACAATGAATGTAACTATCTCAAAGACAGTCATGATAAAATGTTTGTCCCTATACTTGTTAGGGATCTCACGCCCAATAAATACTAACTAAATATAAACCATCACATCCAAAATGTGCCAAAAGAAGATGTCCATTCACATGTTAAAATTATGCCAACAGCTCTGCATCAAGAGAAAAATAGAATTTAGAACTCCAAGCAATTAAAAAAAAAAAAAAAAGACCAAGGACAAATGGAAAAGGGAATACTTTAAAGTGTGTTTTTTGTTTTTTTGGGGAGCATTGCTTATTTGGGGGGTATTTGACTTTTTTTAATTAATAAAGAGGATAGCTCTATGGTGATGAATGAAACATTGAGTTCTAAAATGAGTAGTTTAAACATGTGGTTTAAAAAAATTTTGTAACAAATTATTTTTTAGGTTTTACACCAATTAAATAAACTTGAGCTATTAAATTAACAGAAGAGGTAACCAACCACCATCTCACATAAAACTTCCCCCCACAAATTATAACAGTGAATCTTAAAGAACTCATCTTATTATTCCATAAGGATGACTGGAGAAACTGGAAAATGATGTCTTTGAACTGTGGTGTTAGCATAGATTAGTGAATATTCCATAGACTGCCAAAAGGCCAATCAAGTCTGACTTGGAGGAGTGCAACCAGGGTGCTCCTGAGAGGGGAGGAGGGTGAGATGTCGTCTCACAGATTTTGGGCATCCTGTCAGGAGTGGCCAGTCCTTGGAAAAAGACATCATGCTGGGGAAAGGGCAGGCTCAGAAAAAGAGATGAAGACCCTTAAAGAGATGAATGCACAGAGCAACTTTACAATGGGCTCAAGCTTGTCAGAGATGGTAAGGATGGCACAGGCGAGGGCAAGGCTCAGGTCTGTTGCTCATAGGATCACAATGAATCCTATGAAATTGATGGCACCTAACAACAAATTAAGGAACTCGTAGTCAAGATTCCTGTCCCTGGAAGCAAGCAACCTGTGCGCTCATCTGCAGCCCTGACTTGACTTCCATCTAATCATTTGTTCCTGATCACTCCCATGTTATCAAAGTAAAACAATGAAATAAAGTTCATATGATGCAAAGGTCAATAATGCCACTGTTGTTAGAAGACACTGAATCAGAATCAACACGTAGATGACCTTCAGCGGGTTGTCAGAGGCTGTAAATCACACGAGAGGAGATGCCCATATTTCTCCCAGTGGATTAAAACCACATGCCTTTGGGTTGGCAATGCAACTTCTTTACCACTCGTCCACCAGTGCCTCCTAAAACTGCCATGTAGACATCAGATATAAAAACATCCAAAACTGAACATCCTTCCAGACTTTGAAAGGACAACGTGCCAATGCCTTCTTTCAAACTAGACTCAAAGAGTAAACCACCACTGACATTGCCAGAACACTCTTTCACTTTCTAAGACACATTTGGTCTAGGAAATATTTCCATAAAAGTAGACATACTAAATCAAGGTCACCAGTGTACAATTTTAATCTAATCTAAGTATCTAATAAAAAAATATGGTTGGATGTTGAATCAGGAAGGTACCTTCCGATCTGAAAATGAACTTCCATTTCTGGATCAAGAAAGCAACCAGATAAAAAGAACCAAATGTGGAAGCAAAATAGCATTCTGTACCAGCTCATCTAATGATGTGATAATGTCTTCAAATGCAAGAGGATAGTTGAAAACTGATATGATCACATTTCTAATGACCTTAAGGGACTGAAGGCTTGAAAAGATATTTCGCCCAAAGAAACAAGGCTATTCAATCACCCAAACAGACTTAACTCACTGCTAACTCCTGGCCACCCTGGAGGGCAGACAACTGCTCATTGAGTTTTTAAGGTTGTAAATCTTTCCAGAAGCTGACTGACTCATCTTTCTCCTGAGGATTGGCTGGAGGGTTTGAACCACCAACTTTTTGATTAGGAGCTAAATTCTTTAACCCCTACACCAACAAGTCTCCCTTATTCTACTACAGAGTCATTGAAAGTGCCCTCTTTATCTCTCCTTGTGAGCAAACAAGTCTGAGTGATATTGACCCCCCTCATTTGTTTCTATGCTTCATTCCCATGAGGATTTGTCTTGAATTCAATGATAGTATGTATGTACATTTGTAATACCTTCTCATACTATGAAACAAAGTAAACAAGTGAATAAACAAACAAAAACCCTACACTTAACACTTAGTGTCCACTGGTTTCTTGTAATTCTATGGCATTGTTTTCTAGATTTCATTATTGTGGTTGTTAATTCTACTAAGTCATTTGGCATGGGATTTTTAGATTCCTACCAGTTTAACACAAAACATAATCGGCTTGGAAAACCACCTGAAAGCCAATTAATCAATTACAACATTACTGAAATGAATTAAAATGAATCCATTATTAATATCAAAATTGTCCCTCCAGTGAAAAGTTAAAATTGAAGAAAAAATTATGCATATGTGCACGTGTGTGTATGGCGTGGGTGGTTGAAATAGTCTCACATAAGGTCAAAAGCAGAAACTCAGCTGGATTAACACAGAAACATTTGGAATGGTAAATTACACCAGCATCATATTCATTTTGACTGAAAGCATTTTCTACCTTCTCTCCCGTTCTTGTCTATAGCCAAAAAACACTGAATGGAAAATTTGAATAGTTGCTCAGGAAAAATTATATAATAACTTATCCCAATAGCATTACAAGATCAGTTGTAATTTTTAACAAAAGTCCATCCACCAACAAATAGTGAGGACTTACTGACTCATTTCCCACCAAGGTAACTCTGGCCTTCTGAAGGCTCCCAAAGTCTCCAAGCCAAGCTTCAGTCTTGCGCTAAAACTCGAAACCAGCACACAATATGCTTTTGGTTAAAGCAAGACCTGTTATTTCACCTTATCTGCACATTTAAAAGTTAACTAAGATAAGTTTCTTGCCAAGATAACAGAAAACTCTTAACAATCTGAAGACTTAAAAGAAAAAAAAAAAAGCCAAAAAACACAAACACCAACAACTAGGTGAAACAAATGTCATGTAAATATCTTTTCCACTTAGTCCATATCACAAAAGTCTGATGCCTAGTAATAAAGTGAAGACTACTACCCCCAAATTTAATAGTATGCAGATTGCAATGCAAGGTACCTTTTTGATTCAAAGCTGAAAAGCGAGCCATGTATGTGTACATGCTACATACAGTGTGTATTGCAAAGGCTGCCTGTCCCATGCTGCAGATACCTATCCCTTACCTTCTCTTAGGCAGTCAGAGCCAGGATGCCCATGTTGGAGAAGACCACCACAGTCACCACCTCCTCTGCAGTTAGGGGGGCGCATTCCTCGAAAAGGAACTCATTGATCAATTTCAGAGACAGGCTGAGCAAATCAGACCCCAGCTGTTGTTAATCAGTATCCGAACTGTGAGGAGGCCGGGGAAGAAGCAGTGAGCACAAGGGCCTGTTCTTGGCCTTGCCTCTAGGGTCTCAGGGGATAGGGAGGGAGGAAAGGTGGACTTCCTCTGCCCGCCTGGCACATCCGAACTGTCTGAGCCTTTAACACCGGGAGGCCAAATGGGTGTTCCAGTGCACATGCAGATCTTATTTCCTCCACTTAAGATCTCTCCTAACACAACTGATCTGGCTTTGTTGGAGAGGGTTCTTGAGGGGGGAGGAGGGGAGTTCAGAGATGAGAGTCAAGTTTTTGTCAACTATTGTCTGTAAGAAGATGAAGATGACGGAGGTGAGAGGATGGAGATGAGGGAAGTTGAGAGGGCAAAAGCTGTGATTTCTAAGTAGGTTAAATGGGACAAATTATTGTTTCACCCACCCCCAACTCTAATTGCATTGGAATGCAGAAAACACAGACAGTTTAACCCTTTCTTTTGTGCCTGCAGAGAGTAAGAACTGTGTTTGGGCTGAGTTAATGACAATGTATGTAACTTTTCAGACAGAAAGAATTGGATTTTGTTAAGATAATTGACGCCTTTAAAGCAAAGTTGGCTCCTCTGCTCTCCAATCAATTTTAGGTTGCCAGTGTACTTTAGACCGGACAAAAAGAACATCATTACGTAAAACCTTTCCAAAGTAGGTGGATTCATAGGCTTGCGTAGTCACGAAAAAGACAGCTCAACTCTTGTTAGACTCATCAGCCCACGATAGCATCCGCCACATATCGCAAGGGTCTGCAGGGTTCTTTCCTTCCACCCAGGCCTCCTCCACTCAAACAACATCTTCATTTTTGATCCATTAAGATGACCCCCGCTTTCGACCACCACAACAAAACTGAGCATGCATCAGAGAGGCGCCTGTGCGTGAATGCACATGTGTGCCGTTATAATCGAGACAACAAGCAGACCTCCTGACTTCTGTCCCCGGTTGGCTGAGGCGCCCCAGCGGGTGGTTTTTGCACTGCGGTCATCTGGACTGTGCCAGAGTAAGGATGTGGGCCACACGGCCGTTTCCAGGGAATCGGGGTGTCCCCCGCTGCATTGACCACCCACTCTTAGCGCCAGAGCCTGCCCAGCTGTCCACACCGCTCCCTCCTTCCCCGCCACGTCCGTCCCTGGGGTGTCTGCACTGCTCCCGCCCTCCGCCCCCGCCACCCTCTCGGCACACAGGCACCAGCTCCCGCCACCGCGGGCTGCAGAGGGGCGCGTGCTAGGCCGGCCGGCCCTCCTCACCCCCGCGTCCGGAGCTGGGCTGCAGGCGGCTCTCAGGGGCGCCGGGGCTCCCCGCTAGGCTCCCGCAGCGTCTGGGGCGCGGGCCCCTCCCGGCGCAGGTCCTGCAGCAGCGGCTCTCCGCACCCCAGCAGCCGGGCGGCAGCAGCTCCAGCCGCACTGCCCCTCTTCATACTTCTCTGATGGCTCCTCTCGGAGCTGTTGGGAAAACGAATTTTTCCCCCCTGCCAGAAACAGATTTCCTACATTTCATCAGTCCACATAGACCCAGCGGAAGTAAAATGCTTACTTTTTTCTGGTGGACAGCAAACGCAATTGACACTGATTTACCCTTCAAACGGGGAGAGATTATATTACAAGCCCTTGGCAGCAATTCCGAGGTTGGGGCCAAGCTCCAGCCCCCTTCTAGTCCCCCAAACACTACCCAAGGAGGGAAAAGGCGGGGGCTTGGGGAGGGGATCGTATTTAACTCCAGGGTTTTGAACAGTCAATGGCTTTAGCACAGTATTAAAACTGGGTGTTGGGAATGTTTAGCTCTCCTGGCCAGTCATTCTGCAGATTCAGAGAGGCATGAACTTCCCAGTAACTTTGGCCACTCTTGCTTCTAAATGGAACAATTTGATTTTAAAAAAAATACAACTCTCTTTAAAATTGTTAGAAGTGGTTGGGCTCACGGCTGTTTTTGCTTTACGAAAGGAAATGCAATTCCACCCTCCCTCCGCTCAGCCCCGTCTTAGCAGTATGTTAAATGTCATAAACAATTTTCTCCAACTGTTGTTTATTAGAACGTGTATCCTGAATTGAAAAGTCCCCCCAGGAAGTAGACAGATGTGCAAGTGTCTACTTGGACACCAGTGTGCATGCGGCCCCTAGCTGAGTGCCATCCTGGTGTTAGGTTACAGCGTCCTCTGAGCGCAGACTAGAAGCACTCCCCTTCTTCTGTTGGTTCTGTTTTCGCGTTCCCCAGTTCCATGTTTATCTCCATCTAAGGTACAGGTGGCACAGATGTTTAGATCCTTTTCTGGACAGTATGTTAGAACAGTGAACCAACCACACCTACAAAGCAAATTCCAGTTTACTGTGACCCTCACACTCAAAGAGATAGTACCTATGTACACATTGCATATGTATATATTACATATGTACACTATACATACACACACTGGTAAAGTGAGGCAGAAAATGAGTCGTGTTAGACACAGTTGGGGGTGGGGAGAAATCTTTACACCACTATTATTGTTTTCATCTGGAAGTGGTTATTTGCCCAGAAACATCTAGAAAGTGCATCAGTTATTTGCTTTTAGTAGCAGTGCAAACGCTGAAGGAGGAAAAAAGACACCACAAAGTTTAGCAGCATAGGGCGCTTTTACATTTTAGTTCATTTGTTGTTGTAAAAGCTCCATATTCCCCCTCAGTTTTCCAAACTAGGGGGCGGGGAGATGTTTCTCATTTTTAAGGAAAACTATGTGATGACTTGTATATATACATCATCATCAACAACAAAATAGAGAAGTTAAAAATGTAATGAATTTGAGCAAATGGTTCCGAATCAGACATTTAAAAAGGGTAAAAATGTGAGTCCTAGCTGACATCCAAGCAGATATATGCACACCCATGTTTATTGCAGCTTTGTTCACAATAGCAAGGAGTTGGAAACAACCTAAGTGCCCATCAACAAACGAATGGCTAGAGAAGCTGTGGTATATTCGCACAATGGAATACTATGCTGCATTAAAAAACAAGGAACTCATGCAATATTATTCAAAACGGTTGACTCTGGAGAACATTATGCTGAGTGAAATATCCCAGTCACAAAAGGACAAATATTACATGATGCCACTGTTGTAGAATGGGACTGTCCTTGGGGTTGGGGAGAGACTGAGTAAGATGGGTTCAATAATGTATACTGCACTGAAACAGAGGAGGGAGAGAACCGTCTAAAAGAGAGATGTAACTGGGTATTTCTGTCATCACAGGAGACTAGAGCGAGGGCTGCATGGTGGAGGGGACCAGGGGGAGTGTTTGTAAAACAATGAAAGAATCTTTTCTTTTACTTTTCCATAATTTTTGGATTCATGTACTTATAACTTGTTAGTCAAATTTGTGTCTTCTAGGGTGCAACACCCCCATGATACATCTTGAAGGATATGTACATGTACAGCCAAGCACAATCAATAAGAGTGCATCTGAATTCCAAAATCAATCTCCATAATAGTCTATGTGTTTCCTACTGCCAAAGGGGCCCTTTAGAGTAGTGAGAGAAGATCTTCACCCTGAAACCCACAGCGTCCCTTTTCAGCAGGAAGTAGCTAAGAGAATACGCCATCCCCTTTTCCTTATGACTCAGGGTGAAGTCTCTCTCAGGGAGGAGTGATAGGGAATGGCAAAGGATACACTGACAAAGAAGATTAATCAGAACTGGCTTTGACAAGCACTGTGGCATTTGGACAAGAACAAACTGGGAGGAGGGTAGAGAGAATAGTGCAACAATGAATGAGTGGAAGCCCAAAATCTCTGTAAATGTTTATGAAAATTAATAAAATATAATTATAGAAAAAAAAATGTGAGTCCTGGAACCAGGCACTCTAGTGGTGGAGTCTATGGGAACTCGGGCTGGTAGCCAAGGTGGAACCTGTCTGGCAGTTTGGATCCACCAGTGACTCTCTCTGTGGGAGAAAGATGGACAGTCTCCTCTCTTTCATTTGATATGCTCTGAAAACCTGCTGGAGGAATAGCTATGAGTCACTTCTGCATGATGGCAATGAATTTTAGTTGAGAGAGGCTATAAAATTAGGTAAAAAAAAAAATCAAACATCCATAGTAGTTTTTCATGATCTAAACATCATCAGCCAATTTCAGCATTCTCATTTCCAAGTGTTAGCATCTTGGATTTTGAAAATATTCTGTTCATCAGACATAAATATCTGTCATTGTTCAGCATTGATGCTATAAAAAGCCAAGTACAAGATAATATTTTTGTTTATTCAGGAGTAATGCAAAACCCAGTTTGGGAAAACAAGAATGCTTACAAAGGTATTAGAAAAACAAAATCATCCCATATTACTGCTTCATCATTCTCTTTGATTTTTAGTATTTAAAATCTTCCATTATATTAGATTCTCTGCCCTTTTAGCAAGAATCAAAAGAAAAATACCAGGAGAAACAGTCTTCCTCTTAATTTTTTCATCTGCTTCTTGTATCTAAGAAATAATTCACGTGTTTGATACCCTTTTTTAATGATAGAAAAGAAGTAATAGACAAGGAATCTGAGGTGGCATGCAAATGTTTCAATTTGCTTTTATTTTATATTTATAGTGATTTTCATATGATTTTTTGTGTGCACTCCAAAATCAATGTCTATTTACATGTTCCAGTCAGTCATTGATGTGTTCATCAGGGATGTATTCTGTCTCCATACCTTTTCAATTTGTATGCAGAATAGATCATCTGAGACGCTGGGCTGTATGAGGAGGAATATGAAATCAGGATTGGTGGAAGAGTCATCAACAACCTGGATTA